TTCTCCGACCAAAACAAGTCAACAAGAGGGTAGAGCATGATGGCCCCATTTATAATATTGCTAACATGACTTTATCTACATCTTCTTCTTCAATATGATTAATACTAAAAAGACCCTCATATTCACAATTATTTATAAATATACCCTCATATTCCACAAATATAATAATTTTGCAAATATGAAATAAAAAATATAATAACAATAATAATAATAATCAGTAATCACAAGCATCAAGTGGTGCGTTGTGCTGTGCGACCACTGAGGTTCTTTCTCCAAATATACAACTGTAAAGTTTGCATAAAAGGCGAAAAAGAGACCGACTTTCGACTTTATTTATTAAGAATAGGTCTCGAAAATCATATTCAATATGTCGATTTAAGATCGTTCCTTAAAAGTTCGTTATAAACATAACGGAATGCATTTTGTCATTCAATTAGAAAGAAGAAAAAAAAATGATAGAATGTGTACAAGAAATCAAAATCGATTTGCTCGGTTGCCTATCAAATCAAGCTCAAACGCAAAGCTTTGTTTGCAAACAAACTTGACAAACATTCACCTCGACTCAATTCATTTGTACCCAGAGTGAAGAAGAAAAAAATTGCACACTATACCCAAATCCGAGGCTCCCTATTTGTCGAGATAATAAAGTTATACCAAGGCAAGAGCACATCTAATTCACTCTAGGGTAAATATTCATCTGCACACAAGCGTTCAAAGTATTAAATTCGATGAGATTTGAAATCCGGAATTTTAAATACGAAGAGATTCAAAAGCACAAGGACTGCTTTTCATAGGGACAAATGGACATCAATTATGTAAGCAAATTTTCATACATCATCATCGAAGTGTTTTTCGAAAAGAAACGAAAGGCGAAAAAATAATTCATGAAAGGGGGACGACGAAAGACACATCTAATAGTAGGTCACGAAAGAAAAGAAGCTGACTAGTAAACTAAATACTTTGCTGCAAGCAGCAAACTTTGTTTTTTTTCCCTCCGGAACTATAGAGACAATAGCAGAACACCCAAACCGTAAATCGGCTACTCGTTATCAGGCTTTGGTGCTTCCTTAATCTCTTCAGACATATCATCCTGCATCGGGACAAAATAAAGATTATCAATCACTCAATTCAATCGACAATATTATAAGGCCTCGTTTGGTAGGTAAGATTAGCCATGATTAATTAAATAATTGGACCTTATTGAATGTTCGATTAGTCAAATAACTTTCCAGGCCGGGGCGCAATTGTGGAAAAAATAGTTATAATCTTGGCTAATTCAGAGATTTTTCATAAAGATTGTTTAATCGTATCTTGGCTTATCTTATCTTGGTAACCAAACAAGGCCTAAATAAGTAATTGGACCTTAGTGGATGTTCGATTAGTCAAATAACTTTCGGGTTCGGGGCGCGCAATTATTGAAAAAAAGTTGTAATCTTTGGCTAATTGAGAGATTATGCAATAAGATCGTTTAATCTTATCTAGGCTTATCTTATCTTGGCAACCAAACAAGGCCTAAATAAATACGAAGTGAAGAGCATAAAAGTCTACCTGCATGTCGGAAGTCCACAAAGTGAGGTTGTCACGAAGAAGCTGCATGATTAGGGTGCTATCCTTGTACGATTCCTCTCCAAGAGTGTCCAGCTCAGCAATCGCCTCGTCGAAAGCCTTGAATTAATAGCATAGGCACACATTAGCACTAACCCCGACCAAATCTTATAATCGATCAAAACAAGCCCAATTTTCTTTTACTTTTTTATCTTTCCCACGAACTAAAATTCCATCACCGTAATAAAATAACGGAAGATAAACAAACACCAGGTAGATAATTGCCTCGAAATATTTTGCCTAGAAATCAAATATGTTTTTTTTTGCAGACTGACCTGTTTGGCGAGATTACAAGCGCGGTCGGGAGAATTCAATATCTCATAGTAAAAGACTGAAAAGTTGAGAGCCAATCCGAGTCGGATGGGATGAGTTGGCGCCAGCTCAGCATTTGCAATGTCCTGTACACACCGAAAATAATATACTCGCATAATTAGAACATTAATAAATAACAATTTGAATAAATTTGATTCAAATCATTGCTTTAAAAAACAGATTATGACAAATCTAAAGAGACGAATAGCTGCAGCATTTGCATCAAACGCAAAATTTGAAATCGGAATCTCGATTAACGCATTCAGTTACATCTAATTCTACACGAAACAACGGTGTAAAAAATGCCTCATTTACCGAAACATTTGAAGAAGAAAAAAACACCGCCGCGTCAATTGAATTTCATAGCTAATGATTCATTGATAGAAGTTGTTAAATTAAGTAGGTTTTCGATAGTTCCGTTTAACAAAGTATAGATCAATAAATAAATAAAAAATTCAAACAATTGATGAAAAAAGGTAAAAATTTCTTCAGATCCAACAAATTATTCAAATTTAATGAACAAAAATAAAATGATTCGAGAAGAAAAAAAAAAGTGACCTGAGCGGATTTGTAAGCGGAGAGAGTGTTCTCGGCGGCGTCCTTACGCTCGGCTCCGGTTTTGAACTCGGCCAAGTAGCGGTAGTAATCGCCCTTCATCTTCAAGTAGAAGACCTTGGAATCGCCGGTGGATGCGGATCCGATGAGTTTGGTGTCGAGGAGCTTGAGAATGCCGTCGCAGATGGACGAGAGCTCCGTCTCGATCTTAGATCTGTAGCTCTTGATGGCGGCGACGTGGCCCTCGTTGCCGCGGCTCTCCTCCTTCTGCTCGATGGAGGAGATGATCCTCCAGGAGGCGCGTCGGGCTCCGATGACGTTTTTGTAGGCGACGGAGAGGAGGTTGCGCTCCTCCACGGAGAGCTCGTCGCCGTCGACGGCGCCGACGACCTTCTCCATGAATTCGACCATCTCCTCGTAGCGCTCAGCCTGCTCGGCCAGCTTGGCCATGTACACGTTCTCCTCACGTGGGGACGCCATTCGGATTCGCTGTTGGTTTTTCTAGAGAGAGAAACAATTTAAGAGAGAGAGAGAGAGAGTGAGTGAGAATACAATGATGAGGGGCGGATTTACTGATTTCTGTGTGTTTAATAATGTTGTGGTGTATTATTATTTATTTATTTATTTATTTTTATTATTTAATGTTTGGGCTTTTATGAACCGGGCTGGGCTGGCCCAGCCCATTTCGGGTTTCCATATGGCACGAGAATTATGTCAATAGTAGTTACAATTGAGGGCCCGTTTGGCTTAGTTTATTTTAAAGAGCTGATAAATTATTAGATTTAATAAGATGTTTTAAAAGCTGATAAGTTGTAATATCTTATTTTCATAATTATGTCACGAGTGGTTACAATTGAATGAAATAAGCTCGAATGGTCGGGAGTTTTAAGGTAATTTTGTTAAAATTGAAAATAAATTAAATATATAATTGAATCAAATAAATTGAGTAACGAGTAGTTACGATTCTTAGAGAAATGAATGATTAAAGTTAAACAAAAACTAAATAAGCATAACATTTACATATAGGATATTTTACGGGAACATCTAAGGTAAGGTTAAATTATGAAAAAAAAAATATTTATGTTTGGGTAATTACAACCACCTCCATCAATTATAAATCTTTTTACACGTCCATTTTTTGAGTGTCAGATTTAGTGGAATTTTCTAGATTATATGGAATATTCTCTAATTTGTACCCGTTTTACTCTAGTTCTGACGCAGAACGGAAGCACGGTAAAGAATTAATTTCTACGAATTAATGCTATAGAACATTCGGAATCCACCGAAAACTCTGGAATCCACCAGAAAATAGAGAAAACTCTAAAATATTTTATTAAAATTCGAAAATCATTTCAAGATAAAGTCCTAAGGCAGCTATTTATACAAAAAAAAACTGACAACCCTAATTAAACTAAGAAAATACTAAAAATTACCAAAAACGGCAAAAACGAGTTAAATTCTAATTCTAGTAGATTTCGTAGTTTTGGGAAAACCCAATTTACAGAATCCTAATATGATTTTTCTATGATTTGATATTAATTTTCTAAAACTTACCTAAAATAGCAAAAACGAACTTTTAGAAGTCTAAACGACGTTGGATAGCTGAAATTTGACGTGATTCATGAGCTTTTCTCATGAGTTTTGTTCCTTGCGCCGTTTCACTTGAGATAGAGTTCGTTTCGTACTCAAATACAATTTGAGTTCGTTGAAAACCCTTATTTTTCCATAATTTCTTTCGATATCTCCACCGATGCCCATTAACAACTCTTCTCCGAATTAAATAGTTATTTTGCAATTCGAATCCAATTTGGCGTTCCTTATCAAGTTCCACACTTTGAAACAAGATGATCACAAAATGCGTCTTTTGACTTGTAAATATCAGATTGTGGTGCATTAAAAACTGTATTTTTTTACAAAATAATTACAAACTAAAGAAGAACATTCCACGGAATCTAGAAGATTATGTTTAATTTGACATTTTAAGGGTCAACGTGCAAGAATACTCATAGTTAAGGATAATGATTATAATTACCTAAATAAGAGAGATTTTTTGATAATTTGACTTTATCTCAACAATTTGACTTTATCTAAAGGGTGGACGTAATTTACCCTTTATAGATATAATATTAATAGGGTAAATTACAAACACCCCCCTGAGGTATGACCAAATTACAAAAACACCCCTCTTGTTTGGATAATTACAACCACCCCCTCAACTCATCAAAATTTAGTGGAATCTTCGAGATTATATTGAATATTATCACTTTTGTACCCGTTTTATCCCATTCAAACTCTACATTATGAAGCAAGATGACCATAATATGTGATTTTTAGCTTGTATATATCAGTTTGTGGTGCATCGAAAACTGTATTTTTTACACAAAGAGTACAAACTAGAGCACATTTCATGGAATCTAGATGACTATGTTGAATTTGGCACCATAAAGGTAAGAAAAAATCATAGTTGAGGGGGGTAGATGTAATTATCCAAACAAGAGGGGTTTTTTTGTAATTTGACCATACCTCAGGGGGGTATTTGTAATTTACCCAATATTAATATGATATAGATATCTAACCTTGATCCTATCTTTAACACATTGTTAACGACTATTAGGTGAGAGAAAGTAGTTGCTATCCATAATTTTAGATTTCATTTGATTCAAGAGAGAATTATCCCATGTGTGAAGTTCCAACCTAACATTAGATGGGACCAATGAGCTATCGTCTAGTCAGCAAATCCACGTGTTCACATATGATAGGGTAGATGTTGATTTTCTTTGCCATATTGTTCTACCAATTGATTGCCCTACTAAATTATATTAATTTCATACTCAAATATTTTGATAGGGCAATAATATTCAATATCATTACAACTAAATGTAATTTTATTTTATTGTACCAATTTATGATTAATAAATATAAATAAATAGAAATTTATTTTAATAATGTATTAATTTTATATATAAAGTAGACATAGTTTGCAAAGCTTTTAATATTAGTTAAAATTTTATGGTACTTTTAGTTATGTCAAAAATATTTAAAATATTTTCATTAGCGAGCATATAATTTAGGTCAAGAGTATTTATTTTAAGAAATTCTTTTAAAAATATCTTATATTAGGTAAGTCAGTACTCCATGAGTCCATCCATTCCATAATATCTGTCGCTTTGGAGAATTTTTTTTGTTCCATATTATCTGTCACTTTAAATTTCCAACACTTCACTAATTACTTGATTTCCAGTTTATACCATTCTTAACTCTTTCCAATACTCTTTTTTCAACTAATTTCTCTCTCTTATTAAGTACAAGACAAGGTCATTTTAGTCTAAAAGCATACATTTTCCTAAAATCAAGACCATTTAATGAAATTCTTAATCTTTGTGAAAAGCTGAAAAACGACAATTAAAATGAAACGGAGGGAATAATATATATTGAAAATAATTATGCATTAAATACTAGTTTAGGTATTTTAAATATGTACATGCATTGAATGATTGAATTGCTTTTAAAAATGATGTTCAATTTTGACTTAAATATAATAGTCTACATAAATTAGTAATATGGTTGGTTCGAATTGAAATCGTAATGTTACCCCATAATTGTTCGGTCAAAACCATAACCATACCGTAGTATTTGGGAGAACAAACTAGTTGAAAGCGAAATGAGCATATGTTGTGTCTTTGAAGCTGATAACAACTCGGAAAATGCAACATAAAATCGATGGAAATGTGATATTTTAGACTTAAATGCAAGATCTCCTGTGGATATTGTTTTTTTCTAGAATAAATCATGAGCATCTTATTTTACCTCTGATAAAACTTAGGGGTATGGGGTAATTATCAATACTACACGAACCTTAAAGTTATGTTAACATACCTCAAGGGTATAGTGTAATTTACCCAACTCATAATAGACTTTCCCATAGTTGACCAAAATAGGTTGACATATTGTTCCAAACTTTTAGCTAATAAAATATGAGTGTATTTATTAAAAAAAATGTGCAATCAATTTTGATCGGAACCAAAGTATTTGCGTTTCGTCGCTAACAAAATGACATCCCAAAAAATTCTAATTATACCTACTTTATATTAGTGATGTATATGAGTTGAGCTGATTTAATGATTCAACGAGCTTGTTCGACAAAAGTTTGAGTTTGAGCTCGAAATCAAACTCGAGATTTCTTACGAGTTCCAGCTCATTTTTAATCGCTCATGACCTCCCAAGCTTTTCAGTTTTATTATGAATACAAATAATATAATAAAAAAATAAATACATATAGTAAAAAAAATTAATATACATTTTTTGTTATAATAAATTATAAATTAGTTTGAAAATAATAAACAAAATCAGCTCTACCTCGAGTTAAATAAAAATAAAAGCTAGATATTTATATTTTTACTAATATTTACATATATTATTTGATATTTTGAGCCTTTTAAAACTTTATTGATTTATTAAAAGCTCTTATATATATAATATATATATATAAAAGGAAAGAAAAAAGACCTCGTGAATCACACATTTGAACTTGAACACGATGGATGTCGTGTCAATCGTGGAAAGCATGGGAAACTAAACCCCACCGCCAATAGATATGCAACCACACCGCAATACATCCCTGCACACGCACACACGTGATCACTCCTCTCCTTCTCCACCTCCAATTACTCAAATAATAATAATATTTCAGAGAGCATCTCAGTTCAAATATACTTCCACAGCATCAGATTCTCATTCCATATCCATAACAATCGTCATCCTACACTCGTCACCCCGTACTTATAGAGAGAGAAAGTCTAGAGAGAGAGAATTATCCAGAGCATCTAGAGAGAGAAATGTCGTCGTCTTTGGGGGTGGAGTATGCTTCGGAGGAAAGTAACCGCCACGAAGATGTGGATCAATGGCTCCAGTTGCTCCGTACGAGTTGTGATCCGACGGCTACAAACCTCTCTCTTCCAGCTGATGCTTTTCTAAGAGCCGCCATCTCCCTCAAAGATCAGGTCTGCAGTTTGTACTGTACTGTACTGTACTGTACCGCTCACGAATTGACGATTTTGCCCTCTCCTTATACACTTGCAAAATTAGGGCGTGGTTTTGATTTTTTGGGGTTAATTTTGGGTGAGTGTGAAAATGGTGACGGTTGATTATTTATAGGTGGTGGAAATGACTTGGAGAAGACGAGGGGGAAAGGGCAGTTTGGACCCGACGGTGTATACCGGTTTGATGGGGACGGCGTTCACGTGCTTGCGGTCGTATGAGGCCACCGGCGACCACCGCGATTTGCGGCTGTGCGCCGAAATTGTTGACGCCTGCGCCGCCGCTACTCATATCTCCAACAGGTGGAGTCAATTGAATTATGCACTTAATTGCTTCTTCCTTTGGTATTTAGTAGTAATCCAGTTTTGGCTGGCGAGGTGGCGCGTCAGATACGGTGGTCGGTGGCTGTGGGGTGGCCTACGTTTGCTGAAAATTAAAATTTATTGATTGTGTGCGCGCGTGTCGGTGTGTGTGTGTGTGTGTGTGAGAGAGAGAGAGAGAGATGAATTCAATAGCGGGTGGGCTTTAAGGAGATTTTTTTGTATCGAACTTATTTTGCAATTAGTGATGCTTAAATTACAGTTATTAGCACAGACATGAATTTAGAGCTCTCAAATATTATCAGTAAATAAATTTTCTAAGGTCTCGTTTGGGAATATTTATGGGATAGATAAGATTGATTGAATTGGATATGTGAATATTTTATATTTGAATTATATTGTATGATTATGCATTCCTTGTCGGCCTCATTTGGTTGGGGAGATTAGTCGTGATTAACTAAATAATTGGACTTTGTTTGATATTTAAATAACTTCTCGGTCGACCCCCGGAAATATTATGTTATCATGCCTTTTAAGGAGCTTTTTTTGTTGAACTTTCCTGGGCCCAATAAAACAACTGGATTTTCATTGGATTATTTAATGCTATCTTGGTTAATCCCATCTTGACAACCAAACGAGGCCTTGTTGGGTAATTTCTTTCACGGGATTGTGTAATAATAGTGATTGAGATTGGACTTATTTTCGTTATTCATGTGTATGATTGATCCAATTTTTATGTCTGTTTTTAATTTCGGGCTTCGAACCTGAAACCCCAAATATATGATGGATCTTGATTATATTGTCTATCAAGTATTGCTCTTATTCCCAAACGAGGCCTAGTATTATGTATTTGTGCACTTGTGCTATAGATCATATTAATCTACTAAATAGTATGCTTACTTATTATATTGCAATTTTCACCGTTATTTTTTTTTTAATTGATGAATTGCTTCTCTGTTTTTTGGCATCAATTTTCTGATGTAATATTGCTTGCTATTTTCAGACATGTTACTTTTCTTTGCGGTAGAGGAGGGGTTTATGCGCTCGGTGCCATTACTGCAAATTACTGTGGGGATCAAACGAAGCGTGATTTCTATTTAGACCGATTTCTTGAGGTATTACTACCGTACACCACTTGTCGGTCCATTTCATTTTTCCGTGGTAATATTTGCATAAGTTGTGTCGATTGGGAAATAGAGATGCGCTATATTGCTACAAGTTATCTTTTGATTCTTAGACTATCGAGTGTCGAATTTTTTTGGTCCTATTATCTTTCATAAGGGGAGGAGACAAAAATTCAGATTAAGTTGCAAGTTGATGATAAATCGTGCAGTTCAAGTGTCGGTTCAATTCGGCTTAACAGAAGCTATATTTTCCTTTTAGGTGTGAAAAAAATGTATTTCTTGTTTCGATCCCACTTTCTACTATGAGCTAATGTCTGGGAAATGGGAATGTTTGCAGCTATTACAATTTTGATTTTTTTTCTTTTTTTCAGATTTTCTTGAATTCCTTAATTTAATTGTTCTGTGTTATTTTTTTTATGGTTCCCAACTGGTTTTATTTTGACTGGCATATGAAGTTGGAGCATCCACTATTCTTTCCAAGTCAATATTATAGCTTCCGTTTTTCTTTTTTTTTTAATTAACACAATTTACTATCCTTCACTAAAAAAATAGATGGCACGAGAGAAAGCTCTCCCAGTGGGACCCGAAGAGGGAGGATTCGGAATGTCATACGATCTTCTATACGGGCGGGCCGGGTTTCTTTGGGCCGCCTCATTTCTGAACAAACACTTTGGAGGTCAAGAGATAATCCCAAACGATGTTATCACCCCCGTTGTGGATGCCGTGCTGGCGGGTGGCAGAGCTGGCGCTTCTGTAAATACAGCATGCCCGTTAATGTACAGGTGGCACGGGACTCCATATTGGGGTGCGGCCCACGGCCTTGCCGGCATTTTACACGTCTTGCTTCATTTTCCACTGCGTGGGGACCACGTTGAGGATGTTAAAGCCACCTTGAGGTACATGATGAGTAAGAGGGACCCACAAAGTGGGAATTATCCGGTGAGTGAAGGACACACGAGGGATGAGCTTGTGCAGTGGTCTCACGGAGCTGGTGGATTAGCCATTACCCTGTGCAAGGCATCTCAGGTTTAGTAGTGTGCATCTGACAAGTTTTTTAGCAAATTAAATTAAAATTTGCATTTATTCGAGACGAAAGGATTTAATATGGGCTATATGCAAAGAACTACATTAAAGGGACGTTTCTTTGTGCAGGTATTTCCAAACGATAGAGAATTTCGCGATGCAGCAATTGAAGCGGGAGAAGTCGTGTGGAAGAGTGGATTGGTGAAGAAGGTAGGTTTGGCGGATGGAACTGCCGGAAATGCTTACGCTTTGCTGTCACTTCTCCGCCTGACCGGAGAGAGAGTGTACGAAGAAAGAGCTGAGTCGTTTGCTAGCTACTTGTACCATAGTGCTCGGAAAATCATGGCCGGAGGGGAATATTCCGGGGCATCGGAGGATCTCGATTATTCTCTCTTCCAAGGATTTGCGGGTTCTGCTTGCCTTTTTTTCGATTTGCTCAAGCCCGAGAACTCCCGATTCCCAGGGTATGAAATCTAGACTGCTACTGTATGTTTGATGGTAACTGTCTGAGTGTTGTGCAATGAAATGAAAAATGTAAATAATAGGATTTTACGATTTTATAATTTCTTAAAATTTTAAAGTAAAATCCTTCAAAATTGGGAGTAAAATCCTTAGGTCTTGTTCGTTTGCCATTATTAAGGTTTGGGGCAAATTACGGCGACCATCCTGACATAAGATCAAATTACGAGAAAAATTTCTCTCGGTAACCAAACGAGGTTTTGAAAAAATTATAGTCTACAAAATTTAGGTAAGATTTTAATGATTTTATTTTGGCAGCATTTAAGTTTGTTTTATTTGGGCCAAACCCAATAATTTATTATTTTTCGAACAAGTAAAGCCCACGTTAGTGGGATTATTTCTAATGTCTGGGCATCAGCTCACGCGGACTCTGAAGAATAATACGAAAAAAAAAAGGTAAATTATCTCATGTTTGGGTGATTACAATCGTTCTCTCACTTTTGAATCTTGTTACACGTCTACGTTGCGGTGTTAATTTAGTGAAACCTTCTAGATGATGTGCAGTTTGTACTTGTTTTACCCATTCGATCTCCACATTGGGATTAGAAACTGCATTATTGCACAAAACAAGTACAAATTGGAGAACATTCCACTGAATATGTTGAATTTTACATCATAACGGTGGAAATGTAAGAACATTCATAGCTGATGGATCGTTGTAATTACCCAATTTAGAGAGATTTTTTTTTTTCGTAGTTTAACCTAACCTCAAGGGGGTCTAAATTTACCTTAAAAAATATAATTTTTAATGAAACTCTATATTTATATTTTCATTAATTAATCATATTAACATATCAATCGAATAACATTAAGATTGTTAATGTTATTCGATTCATCACCCTCCAATCCCGTATCCCTCACTGGTCCTCGAAAGTGTCGATTGATGAGATCCGTAAATATTGTGCTTTTAGATCGAAATGGAGGTTCAAATTCTACTCGAGAAATGCTAATTTTGCCGCCCACAACCTCGCCACGTATTCTTTCTCATGCAAGTGAGATAATTTTGTTGATGTAAATAATTTACCGTTTTCCTGCTTTCGTGACGGGACTACCCCATTGTAGACTCGTTTATTTTTCCTCATTAATGCTATCTTTTTTTATTATAAAAAAAAAAACATTATATAAAAAACATAATAATATGTAGAGGAATCGCATTTGACAATTCTTCCCGACAATTCGACCAGAAAAATCATATTACATATCCATAAATTAATAATTTCACCAATTTTTTTTTTTTGTTTTGATCAAAATCAAAATCCTTTGAGATCTTCAGCCAATAGTTCTTAGGGTCGTTCGTCTATGCACGTGGTGTGTGCATTATCAAAATAAGATTTGTACCTAACAATAATGAATTTGTGGATTTGATCAATCATAATAAGGATCGTCTTAGGGGTGTAAATGATGTTGTTTTGGCAAGTTCGAGTCCATTTTGATGAGCTTCAGTTCTTCGAATATTTTTTTTTTTGCTCGAACTCAAGCATGGGCCTTTGGTGCAATTTTTTATTATTATTATAATTTTATGATTATAAATTATAATTATAAATTTTGAAATAAAAAGATGACATGTAATTTATTTATTTTAATTATTTATATGAATTTATTAATTAATTTTATATTACTTATATTTAAAATAGAAATAAAAATTAATGTTTTTTAAAAGCTCGAGAGCTCAAAAACAACTAAGAATGAGTTCGGACTCGACTCGTTAGAAAACTCACACTCGAAACTCAAAATATTCAATTTTGAGTTCGACCTTCTACCGAGGCAGCTCACCGAGCTCACGAGTCAGTTCAACTTATTACACCCCTTGATTGTCCTACATGAAACGCCAAATTATATATATATATATATATATATATATATATATATATATAATTAACATGATGTTTAAAATTTCATTTTCCGAAGCTTATGATACCGAAACAAGCTTCCCATTTCAAAATTTTCGAATCAGAAACAAATTAATATGTACTCCATGATAAAATCTAAAATGTTATAGAAACTGTTATTTTCTCGATTTGATTCGTCTGATTTCCAACCCCGACATGCACTCAATAAAAACGTTGATTCGAGTGGATCCATCACCACAACTTGGACGTTGATTCCGTGAAGGCAACGTCGTTACTCGTTAATGTTGATCGTGAATCGATCTCGTATTAACAAACAAACAAAAACAAAAACAAAAACAAAAACAAAAGCAAAAAAATGGGAATAATGCCAAGGCACATTCTCCTGGGACCCACAATCCCACTTGGATGTAAAAGGCCCATCTCTCTTTGTCTCTTTTTGGGCCGTCCACGTCATTTTCTTCCATTTTTCTTTATTTTTGCACTTTTTTCATTTTTCTTTTATGTTTTTTTTATCAATTTTTATTATGGACCACAAATTCCCACAACTAGTCTCCAACTTTTTCCATTCCAATAATTTTACCCCTTTTTTTTCTATTTTTTATTTTTATTTTTTATTTAAATCTTTTACTAATTATTCTTTGAGAAATTGCAAAATGGACCCACTAATTACATCATTGTGTTGGGAGGTGAAATACTTTTCACAATTAAGTTGTGTTCATCTTTGGAGTGAAGAACTATATCACTTGTTTGCGTATTTAACTATTTATACAACTCGTGAAATATATCGGATAATATTACATCATAGTACATATAATCACCGAATCGTAAATGTATGTTTGCGGTGTAAGTAGTTATCAATATACGTGTATAACATAATTTGACGTGATCAAGTATCATCAGACGATTCATATTTCTTACGTCTGTCGAAAAATGTGAATGCAATTATGTGAAGAGAGAAAATGAGTAAAGAAAAAATACTTATCCCCAAAGAAAAAAAGTAGCCAAAAAAAGTAACTTGTGCTTTCTTCCTACAATAATTAAGCGCAT